CACACTGTCCCTCACTGTCCCACACTGTCCCCACACTGTCCCACACTGTCCTCTGTCCCCACACTGTCCCACACTGTCCCACACTGTACCACACTGTCCCCACACTGTCCCACACTGTCCCACACTGTCCACACTGTCTACACTGTCCCACACTGTCTCACACTGTCCTCACACTGTCCACACTGTCCCACACTGTCCCACACTGTCCCACACTGTCCCCACGCTGTCCACACACTGTCCCCACACTGTCGCACACTGTCCCACACTGTCCCCACACTGTCCCACAGTGTCCCACACTGTCCCCACTGTCCCCACACTGTCCCACACTGTCCCACACTGTCCACACTGTCCCACACTGTCCCACACTGTCCACACTGTCCCACACTGTCCCCACACTGTCCCACACTGTCCCCACACTGTCCCACACTGTCCCCATACTGTCCCCATACTGTCCCCACACTGTCCCACACTGTCCCCACACTGTCCCACACTGTCCCACACTGTCCCACACTGTCCTCTGTCCCACACTATCCTCACAGTGTCCCACAGTGTCCCACACTGCCCCACACTGCCCCACACTGTCCACACACTGTCCCACACTGTCCCACACTGTCCCCACACTGTCTCACACTGTCCCACACTGTCCCACACTGTCCACACACTGTCCTGCACTGTCCCCACACTGTCCCACACTGTCCCCACAGTCCCACACTGTCCCACACTGTCCCCACACTGTCTCACACTGTCTCACACTGTCCCACACTGTCCTATGCTGTCTCACACTGTCCCACACTGTCACACACTGTCCCGCACTGTCCCCACACTGTCCCACACTGTCCCCACAGTCCCACACTGTCCCACACTGTCCCCACACTGTCCCACACTGTCTCACACTGTCCCACACTGTCCCCACACTGTCCCACACTGTCCCACACTGTCCCCACATTGTCCCACACTGTCCCCACACTGTCCCCACACTGTCCCCACACTGTCCCACACTGACACCACACTGTCCCACACTGTCCACACACTGTCCCGCACTGTCCTCTGTCCCACACTGTCCCCACACTGTCTCACACAGTCTCACACTGTCCCACACTGTCCTATGCTGTCTCACACTGTCCTACACTGTCCCACACTGTCCCACACTGTCCCACACGGTCCTCTGTCCCCACACTGTCCCCACACTGTCCCACACTGTCTCACACTGTCCCACACTGTCCCACACTGTCCCACACGGTCCTCTGTCTCCACACTGTCCCCACACTGTCTCACACTGTCCCACACTGTCCTGTGCTGTCTCACACTGTCCCACACTTTCCCACACAGTCCTCTGTCCCCACACTGTCCCCACACTGTCCCACACTTTCCCACACTGTCCCACACTGTCCCACACTGTCCCATACTGTCTCACACTGTCCCACACTGTCCCCACACTGTCCCACACTGTCCCACACTGTCCCACACTGTCCCCACACAGTCCCACACTGTCCCCATATTGTCCCACATTGTCCACACTGTCCCACACTGTCCCACACTGTCCACACACTGTCCTCTGTCCCCACGCTGTCCCACACTGTACCACACTGTCCCACACTGTCCCACACTGTCCTCACACTTTCCCACACTGTCCCACACTGTCCCACACTGTCCTCTGTCCCCACACTGTCCCACACTGTCCCACACTGTCCCCACACTGTCCCACACTGTCCCACACTGTCCCACACTGTCCCC